TTTTCTTGTTCATCGTATTGCTTTGACTATCGACATAGTTAGGCATGGTGTATAGTAAGCACTCGAAAAAGTGAGTGCCACCAAAGCCGAAATTAAATATATATATATATATATATATATAGTTAAGTCGGGTGTACAATTTTCGCTATAAGCGACGATATGAAATTGCGTCGAAGAGAGAATATGCATTTTATTCCAGGGACTAGATAGTATAACAACACCCCTTGTGTTGTTATTGTAACAACACTAGTCTCCAACCAATAGGAAGCTAGGATTGTGATGACTTTTTATTAAATGAGTTGACCTAGTGTAAAATCAAAGCAGGGGTATAATTGTCATTATGAAAAATATGCTTAGATAATAATAAAAAAATAAAAAAAATAAAAAATATATTTTTTTATTTTCGGACCAAAAATTTGGTCGCCGGAATTCGGCCATCGGTCGCCGGAATCTGGTCGCCGGTCACCGGAATATGCTTTTTTGTCGCCGGAATATGCTATTTTGCAATCGGAATATGCCACTGTCGTCGGAATATGCTCACCGGCGTCGGAATCTAGTCATCGGGGCCGGAATATGCCTATCGGCGACGGAATCCGGTAACTGACGGTCATCGGAGTTTGGTCAACGATTTTCGTTGACCGGTCAACGAACTTCGTTGACCAGTCAACGGTCAATGACCACCGGATGTTATGGTCTGCATTGTGAGATTTATGGTTTGGTTTCTCATATTTTTGTATGCCTTTTATGGTTTGCTTTATCGTGTTTATGGTTTGCATTAAGAAGTTTCTGGTTTGCTTTATCGTGTTTGTGGTTTGCATTGAGAAGTTTCTGGTTTGTTTTGCGGGGTTTCTGGTTTGTTTTAATAGATTTTTGGTCTGCATTAGGACGTTTCTGGTTTGTTTTTGTGGTTTGCTTTATCGTGTATGTGGTTTGCATTATGAGGTTTCTGGTGTGTTTTCTAAAATTCTGTGGTTTGCTTTGCGGGATTTCTGGTTTGTTTTAGTAGATTTTTGGTCTGCATTAGGACGTTTCTGGTTTGCTTTTTTGGTTTGCTTTAACGTGTTTGTGGTTTGCGTTATGAGGTTTCTGGTGTGTTTTTAAAAATTATGTGGTTTGCTTTGTGAGGTATCTGGTTTGTTTTAATAGATTTTTGGTCTGCATTAGGACGTTTCTGGTTTGTTTTTGTGATTTGCTTTATCGTGTTTGTGGTTTGCATTATGAAGTTTCTGGTATTGAAATGCTCATGTTCTGCATACAAATAACTCCTAAAAGCATACCATAATAAATTTGAAGCACTCGACCCAACCCCCCTATTATAGTTTTGCTATCTAATTCCTTCCTTCCCACCCCCACATTCAAAAAAAAAAAAAAAAAGTTAAAACAGAACCTAATCAAATTAAGGAGGATTCTAAGATGAGATTAGCCATCTCAGCAATGGACAGCTTGTTGTGATTGTGATCTCCTTCGTAGGTCACCACCAGCATCGACAGGTCATCCACCACTCTCTCCACGTGCTTCCTGGCCGGGCATCCCCGCACGCTGCTGCACTTGTAATAACCCCTGTAGTTTTTGCCACAATTGATTCAACAAACCTCGCCCAATCCCGGTCAACGATGGAGCAGATGACGAAATCGAACTTACCGTGGATGCGGCGAGCAAGGTAGGAAAGACGGGAGCTGTAGCAAGCGGAGGAAGAAGCGGCGGTGCCGCTGCGCGTGCCCGGGACCTGCGGGTGGTTGTGATCTTGGCCGCGGAGGAGTCGATCGCATCCGGGTAGAAGATGGGGCGGCGGAGGAAGAAGCGGGGCGGAGGAGAAGGGTCGCAATGGTGAGAGATGAGATCTGAGAGTGAATTTTAATTTATTTTATTTTATTATTTTCTATCTAATTTACCCTTATGTCCTTAATGAATCATGTTGTTAGTATAACAACACTTAAGGTGTTGTTATACTATCAGGACCCTTTATTCCAGCCATCGAAAACCAAAAAATTATTGGAAGGGAAAGGTTTGGTTTTAGCTCTTGTTTGTCGGCCAGTGTTTTTTTTTTTTTTTTTTTGAACAAATCTCCTTATTCCTTCACGGACAATACACTGATCATTCACAGAAGCTGGCACTGGTTCAGCTTTGGTGCTACGTTCTGATCATCACGTGAACTTGCAGAAGCACTATAAGAATAGAGAAAATGAGGGGGAAAAAGCTTGAATTCGAGATGTGCTGCAGGGCATTCCCTCCAACGTCATGGGCCAAAAAAAATCAATCATACATAAGTTTCCAATCCCAGTTTGTCCAATTTTTGTTTTTTTCTTTCTTATTCGTTTGCTGGCTACGCTAAAGTTATGTAGGGAGGTGGTAGTTTGTGGTCCTTGTAGAAATAAAATGCTGTTGTATGATAGGTCATGCACACAATAGGATATCAAGCGTGATCAATTTGAGAAACATACAAGCACGATATAATAGGTTATTAGCCCGACGTAGTCCTTACTCGAGTGTTTTATTATTACAAATGGGTGCAGTGCATTCTACCTTTCGTTCAAAATCAATCGGGAGTCGGAAGTTTGTCGAATGTCATGCAGAAGTCACTATTTGAACTCGATGAAAACTCGTTCGATCCAATAAAAGCTCGATTTGTTTATAAACGAGCCGAGCTTGAGCTCAACCTTGTTCGGCTCGTGAACTAGCTCGATTAGGTGGCTTGTTGAGTTTGACTCATGAACTATCTCATCTTGAGCGTATGAAATGTTTCAACATTGTAACTAGCGAGCCAACTTGATTACGGCTTATGAGAAAATCGATCTATATCTTATGAGTTGGTTTGTTAACGATGCATATATTTATTAAATTGTATATCACACCTCCTGTGATGTTTAATAATTTAAGTATATGAGCAAATATGTTTCGTATACAGTTAATCACATGTATCGTATATGACATATAAATATTAGGGTATTTCATTCATAAATTATCTTAGAGTTGAGCCCGAGCCTAAATTTTGATATTAGTGATGAGTCGATATTCAATAAATGAGATGACTCGTGTTCGGCTCGGCTCAGCTCGTTCATAAACGAACCGAGCTCGAGTTCGGCTCGTTTATAAATGAACCAAACCTGAACAAGACAAAGTTGGGTTCGGCTCGGCTCATTAACAACCCTAATCTCGACCGGTCAAGAGGTCTGCACACTTATTACTCTCTCGATATTTTGTGATATGTTTAAACTTCCAAGTCTCGGGAATGGAGATCGAGAAAGTGCTGAATTATTGCTACATGAAGATGATCATATTACCATTCGGCTGGAGGAGTAGCCGAACTACACATTTCGAATCCAATTGAACCCGAACAGACGATGTCCAAAATCCCATGCTAACCGAAGCCTCTCTACTGCGCGTCTCAATTCTGCCCTGGTTATACAACAAATGAGGTTGGCTCGCTAGTCAACGTCACGTATAATTTTTAATAAAACCAACAAGAACTTGACCCGATTCTGAATATCGAAGTTATCAGAATTGAGATACACCAAATAAAAAAGTGACAATTGTCAGAAGATCTGTGCCTTCGTGCTCATAGGTACCCTAACTCAAGTTCGATATTAAGAAATTATTGTAATTTTTATTCAAATCCCTTGTCTTCTATTATCTCTAATTCTCTATTACTAGTTTTATAAGCTCAAGAAGAAAAGAAGTGAAGAAAGTGGTAGGCCTAGCCGCGCTATGGATGTGTGGATTAGAATTGTTTAACACGGGAAATTCGTATTTGGGTTTTGTAAAGTGGAGACCGGGAGAGTGGGATGATGAATTGGAATTCCCAGTCCACCACCACCGGTCGCTAAAAGTTTCAACTCACCAATCCCCATTTCTATTGTTTAAAACTTTGACTTGGCCATGTTAAACATCACAATCTCCCCACTATTCCCCAAATCTTTTCTCAGAGATTTGAGGAGAGAAACCTTTCCTCTGTCTCTTATCTAACCATCGTTAGTAAATTATGTCACATTATCATTGCACTAGATGTGAAATTTCATTATTACACCTCTCTTCTTGAAAACTTAAGAGTACTCTCCTATTATTAGTCGGTAAACATCAGAAGCTAGGAGCAGGATCTTGGAACGATCAGTTATAAATTCGATTCGGTGACACCAGTTGAGACCGATACTTGAGTTTATTTCTCAATTGGAAACAAATTCTTTGATAGATTTCACATGATAGTGTGATGCACTGTTGGGTTCTACCTTTGTTCTTGCCGGCGGTGTTTATTCTCCGTGATTTGGACCGATTACTAGTCTGATTGAATCAAACTTTTGTTTTACAGCGAACCTCATCGGATATGCAAATCCTAGCTATGCTAGTCCATTTGTCAGGTGTTTTCCAGGAGCCCGATTATCAATTCAAAAGGAAAAGCATCTCCATCCTCTTAAATTGACAATCTCGACCATCACTAAGTAAGAACTCTCTACTCACTATCCATATCCACGACAACCACCTTGACACCTTCAAGTGACATGACCGAACCGTAGGGCAATTCTCATACATGAGGATGCACCCACGAAGTCTCTCATGAGTCGTGACTAAATCTCCAAACTTCACAAGAAAACGGGAGGTTAGATATTTAAGATCTTCAACCTCCTTAGAACTCGTGAATTTAACCATCTTCTAATGAATCAATGAATTCTTAAAAATATTTAATTCCTTTCACCTTGATTAGAGAAACTGATTTTGTGTATCTCGATATCGTTAATGATGCGACAAGCGGCATGTCAAATGCATAAAGAAATAGATATGTAATCTCAATAATAAAATTCTTTAGAAATGTCTAGCCTTCAAATAAGAAAATCTTCACCACTTGTTGCTAGAAATGACTGGTTGATGAATTTCCTTTTGACTCCAATGAAGCATATGTATGTCCACGGGACAGACATTAATCAATCCATACAATAAAATTCTCCTTTGCACTTAAGTTTTTGTATTGTAAGAAAATAAAAAAAAGGAAGAAATATGGTTGAAATCTTGCTGTCTTGTCACTGTGGCCCAAGTCCCGGTGTCCCACAGTCCAAACCACAAACTACCACTCTCTCACCTTTTCTTTCCCTCTCCTCTCCTCTCTTCTGTCCTCTCTGTTATTTTGCCACCCCACCATGAATCTGCCTTCTTTCTTTCTCCTCCATTAATCACCATCCCTCAAAACTCAATCACGGACTCAGTCTGCTGGTTTAAGGGCCGGCTCCCAGTTCCAATACTCATTACTGCTCTTAATCTCACAACCCCATGTCAGGAAAACCACGGTCTCTTATTCTCCCACCCGCCAATCTCAAAAAGCTCTGCAAATTTGAGAGCTTTAACTTCAAAGACAAGCACTTTCCTGCCCCATTTTCACCAAACCAATTCTGGGTCCTTCTCTAAACACCCCCATTTGCTTTTCTATCGATGTTTCCAGGGCTTCCACTATTTCTTGCTTCGAGTAATCTTGAAGCAAACACTGTTTCATTTTGTATTTGTGCAGAAAGACACACTTCTTTCTGCCTCTCTTTTGCCAACAGCATTTGTAGCTGATTAATCTCCTCCCGCCAATAGAGATTTCGGAATTTTGTGTGTGGCTGTTTGTGGGATGGGGTTTGTTGTCACCAGTCGGTTGTTGTTGCAGCTGGTGAAGCTCTGTGCCATCAGCTTGATTTTCACCATCCAAGGATCTACAGGTGAAATTCCATACTCGTCACCTCTTATTTGTTTCAGCCTGATTTGTCTAAATTTGGAAATGAAAGTTTTGTTCTTTCTTTCTTAGGCAGTTAGGCTCTTGGTGGTGGTTGGTTGTTGCCATTTCTTTTGTTTTCTCCTTCTACCTTTTTGGTTCCTTATGGGGATATTCTGTTTTTAATGATCTGGGTTGGTCAAATATTTCTGCTGCTACTGCTATTGAAGAAGTTTTGTGGGCACCCAATTGGGAAGCAATTGAATCTGTAAGGAATAACTTTGAAATTCTCATTGGGTTAGATTGGAGGGCATACCGACTTGAGATCCAGTAGTTTGTTTTACTCCCTTCATTGAAAATAGGTAGAGCTGAGGTAGGAAACTTACTGGCCACTTCAAATTGTTGCTGGATAGCAGCATTTAATAGTCTTAAGTGTGGCTTATTGCTCATCTGAATATAACTTGATAGTCAAGTTTCTTAGTGCAATTCTCGTTTGAATTGGGTAACTGAGACTATTTGGCTTGTTTTCTCTCCTTCAGGATTCAGTATATCACCAACTCAGAGAATCGAAAATCAGTTGGTAGGGGCAGTTCAGAGTCCAGTCCATCAGATTAGGCCATTCGAAAGCAATCCACCGAGCTCAGAGTCCCATGTAAATGGTAACTGTCTTAAACTTGTGAACTGTTAGCTCTTGCTAGAATGGGATAAGCTAAATTGAGAAAGCTGGTGCGACAAATGCAGGGCCTACAACATTCGACACACCCCCTGAATCAATTTCGGGGCAGGCACCATCCTACCAGCCTAGTCCAGTTGGATCATCACCACCTTATAGAACTGCTCCTCCACCTCTAGTTGTTTCTGGAAATGTGCCTTCTGAATCTCCAACTGTTTCATTTACACCTATACCACAGACAATAATAGCTCCTTCTCCTGAAAATTTTGAAGGAAATGTAGCACCTTTGCCATCAAAAGCTAATGATGGAAGTGTTTCTCTTGAACCTCCATTACCAAGTTTCGCTCCGCCACCCCAGATTTCTGGAGGGAATGTTGCACCTCTACCACCTAACTCTTCTGAAGGACACGTAGCACCTATGCCGTCTAGCTCTTCTGGAGGAAGTGTTTTAGTTGGACCCCCAACACATAGTATAGCTCCTCCTCCTCATCAAATGTCTCAAGGACAAGCAGCACCTATGCCGTCTAACTCTTCTGGAGGAAATGTTTTAGGTAGACCCCCAGCACATAGTATAGCCCCTCCTCCTCAAATGTCTCAAGGAGAAGCAGCACCTGTGCCGTCAAACTTCAATGGAGGGAATGTGACCTTAGCACCTCCCCCAAAGAGTATAGTTTCTCCCCCCCAGACTTCTCAAGGACAACCTGTACCTTCACCACCGAGCAGTTCTGGAGGAGGAGTCTCCTTGGTGCCTCCACCACATAATAGTATAGCTCCTCCACCTCGGAATTTTGAACGACAAGTAGCACCAACGCCATCAAACAGTCCTGGAAAACGGGAGCCGGGTGAAAAGGCTCCTGCCCCTATGCCAGGTTGGTAGATTCTTGGACATTAGTCATGGTGGAATGCTAGTAATTTCAAAGTTTGAATGTGGTTCGGAAAATCTTACCATATCTGTTTCCAGTGGCAACACCTCCAGCTAATTCACCACCAAGTCTACCGTCCATCCACCCAGGTGTGCCAGAACCTTCGACCGGGAGTGCTCCTCAGAAAAACACAACGTTTAATGGTTCTCCTCTCCAAAAACCAGTTCCAGGTATGAAAAGCAGTGTGTTGCTGAATATCACAATACCTGAAGACTGAAGTTCAGTTTGGTAACAAAGAATTTTGATCTCTTGAATTTGTTTGCCCTGTATATGGCCAGCAGTGGCATTACCTCCGAGGATATTGGGAAGGGAGAAACCAGTGCAACATCCAATCGCACCAGCAGTCATTATCCCCTCTGTCTCCCCAGGTGTGTGCCTTATTCATTTAGAGTACCATTTGACTAATTTTTCTTCTCTTTTCAAACTGCCCAAATTGACCAGTTCCAGGTTATTTTGTCCCATTCCAGTTCAGTCACCCTTGGGAGATTTGCCACATAATTCGTCAAGAAATCTTCCAGTTGCTCCTATGAAATCTCCTCCAAGATTGGAAGGTTTTTTTTTTTTTTTTCGTTGACGATTTTCCTTCATTCTGGAAATATTTCTTATAATTGGCTGTAGATGCTGTTATGGCTGAGCGAAATCTATAGATATTTGGCAAAGAAGCAGCATTTTAAATTTAGATATCATACTTGTGTCTTGTTGCAGATCCTGAGGTCTCGTCTCCATCATCTACTCCTCCAAGGACTCATTGGACAAAAGATGGAACTCCAGTTACTGCACCCTCGGCTGAAATACAAAAGCCCTTACCAGTGTTGCCACCTACAACTCATGCACCCGCTAAAGGTATAGGTTCTGCAAACCCCGTCACACAAGGGTGAAAGGACAATAAGTAAATTACCCTGCCCTTAAAATTATTACTAGATGGGAGAGTAACTTAACAATGTATTGGCATTTTCAGCTTCTTTTCCTGCTGTGGCTCCTTCTGTTCACAAAGCTTGGCGGCATTCGAATAAAGCTCCTTCTCCGTCTTCTACCTCTTCTCATAAACACAACAATGCAAGAAATGGAAGCAGCATCGCTCCTCCCAAATCATCATATGTTATACCTCCTCACTCATCAGAAGAGCCAGGTCTAGATTTCTACCTATCAAATTTTAAAAGAGTGTGAGACGGTAGTTTTATGGTTTACCATCCACTTGAATTTATTATGTCCAACTTACCAACTGCTTTCTCCTTCTTTCCTTTCTATTCCCCGTCCAGCACTCCCTCCCTCATCTCTTCCAACTAGCAGGCCCACACACTATGCTTCTCCACCTCACCATACAGGTAGTAAATACTGAAGACTTAATCTGTACAATCTCGAGAACAGGTTTAGTTGTTAATCTGGTTCATGTACTACAGGTACTAATCCAGTTATAGGTGTTCCACTTGCCCCCTCACCATCAAAGACAGCAGCATCTAACTGGACCACAAGTAATACTGTTTACCCTCTTTCCCTATTGCAGTCAATCCAAACTCTTCAAGCTCTTGAATTCATGTGTCATCAATGGGATACCTTACCTTTGCTTCTCGTTACATTTTATAGTACCGATTCTTTCACCAAAAATTTCTCCGAGATCTTCATCAAAGAATCCTATGCCCTTGTTTCCGCCAATCCATGCATTGCCACCTCCGCCACCCAATCAAGGTTATACAATATGGTCATTTTGCTGTTGTTGTTTGGTGATATTTCCATCCTACTTGCTGTAGTAACACATAAAATTTGATGGTATCGTGTAGATTGTTCAACGACTGTTTGCATGGAACCTTATGCAAACACTCCTCCCGGATCTCCATGTGGATGTGTGTTGCCCATGCAAGTCGGACTGCGACTTAGTGTTGCACTATATACATTTTTTCCTTTGGTTTCTGAATTCGCTAAAGAACTTGCTACTGGGGTTTTCATGAAACAAAGTCAAGTCAGGATTATGGGAGCCAATGCTGCTAGCCAGGAACCTGACAAGACCATAGTCCTCATTGACTTGGTTCCACTTGGACAAAAGTTTGACAACACAACTGCTTTCTTGACTTACCAAAGGTTTTGGCTGAAACAAGTGGCAATACAAACTTCCTTATTTGGTGACTACCAAGTCCTTTATGTGCGCTATCCAGGTAGAAGCTTTAGAGTTCGGTCTACTAAATTTCTAGCATTGCTCTAGCTACATTATCTAATAATGATGTGCACTATGTAGGTTTACCGGAATCTCCTCCTTCAGCATCTTCTGGGATTACTATCATTGATGATGGGCCATACTCTGGCAATGGAAACAACGCAAGAACGATAAAGCCCCTAGGAGTTGATGTATCCAAAAGGCGCCAAAAGGATGGACTTAATGGTGCTGTCATTGCTATTATTGCTCTGTCAGCTTCTATTGTTGTCATCTTTTGCTCGGCAGTTGCTTGGATTTTTATTTCTAGGAAGAGAGGCCATCATGGCAGAGAGCCATCGCCAGCTCCCCCACCTTTGCGTGCTTCTGTTGCAAAACCCTCAGGTGCTGCCTTGCGTGCACGACAATTAATATCTTTCCCTTCTTGTTAATACCAAAAGCAGGAAGTTTACACTGAGATGCTGTGATACTATTGCAGGGATTTCTGTGTCAGCCCTTGGGAGTGGTCTCAGTTCTCATTCACTGTCATTTGGCTCTAGTATTGCACCATATACGGGATCTGCCAAAACCTTCAGTGCAAGTGACATAGAGAGAGCAACTCATAACTTTGATGATTCAAGGACACTCGGGGAAGGTGGCTTCGGACGTGTCTATAGTGGTGTTCTTGATGATGGGACCCAAGTAGCAGTCAAAGTCCTGAAAAGGGACGACCAGCAAAGTGGTCGAGAATTCTTGGCAGAAGTCGAGATGCTTAGCCGCCTTCACCACAGGAACCTTGTCAAGTTGATTGGGATATGCACAGAAGAGCATGCACGTTGTCTGGTCTATGAGCTAGTGCCTAATGGCAGTGTGGAATCTCATTTGCATGGTACAGCTAGTTCCATTTAAGTAGGTTTGAGCTAGTAACCAATTAGGTGATTTACTTGACATTAATCTCCACGTTTCCTTTGTTGTTATCTTATTAGGGGACGATAAGGAATCTGCACCTCTGGATTGGGATGTCCGGATTAAGATAGCACTTGGTGCAGCTCGAGGTCTGGCTTATCTTCATGAGGATTCAAGTCCACGGGTCATCCACAGGGATTTCAAATCCAGCAACATCTTGTTGGAGAGTGATTTCACACCAAAAGTCTCCGACTTTGGGTTGGCACGATCTGCGCTGGATGAGGAAACCAGCCATATATCCACTCGTGTGATGGGAACCTTTGGGTAAGAATTCCTCTTTCATGCCTTTCATTGTTGCAACTCTACTAGAACCTTGGTCACACTAGTTGAAAGATGCATGATAATGATAACAAACGTACTTGGTAATCATTCAAAAACAGGTATGTGGCCCCTGAGTATGCAATGACCGGTCATCTTCTAGTGAAGAGCGATGTATACAGCTACGGTGTAGTCCTTCTTGAGCTTTTAAGCGGGAGAAAACCGGTGGATATGTCACAACCACCAGGTCAAGAGAACCTAGTAGCATGGGCACGTCCGCTTCTGACAAGCCAAGAAGGGTTGGAAATGATAATAGATCCATCTCTTCGCCACGATGTCCCCTTCGACAGTGTGGCCAAAGTTGCAGCCATTGCTTCAATGTGTGTGCAGCCAGAAGTGTCCCATCGCCCATTCATGGGCGAAGTTGTTCAAGCGTTGAAACTGGTGTGCAACGAGTGCGATGAGGCGAAAGAAGTAGGATCTATAAGCTCCAGCCGTGATTTGTCAATGGATGGTGGCGAGGCGAGGACCACCTCAGGGAAGCTGGTGCCGGAGATGTTCCATGACCGAAGATTGGGGTTAGGGCCGAGCAACTACGACTCTGATCCGGATATCGAGAGAGGGCTAACGCTGTCAGATATGTTCGGTACATCAGGAAGATTCGGGAGGCAGGCACCAACATCCGCGTCGTTCAGGAGGTACTCGAGTTCTGGCCCATTGAGTAGTGGGAAGGGAAGAGAGTGGTGGCAGAGAATGAGGAGATTGAGAGGGGAGAGTGTGAGTGAACATGGGATCATGTTCAAACAATGGGCAGGTTCATATTGAAAAGCTGTGGACTAGACAACCCTTGTTTATGTGTGAATATTGATTAATATGCACAGTTTCTAGGAGGAGGCTAGAGGAATGAATGGTGAAATAAGTTTTGAAGAAAATCTTTGACAAGGAGACTTGAAAAGAAGTGCAGAATTGGAGGATGGAGGTGGTTATGACAGCAAGTGAGTTTTGACCCTGAGTAATAACACAGTCAAAGTGGAGGGTAATCAAACTTGAATGTTTTTATCATTGTCCAGGTACCAAATAGTAATTTAACCCCTTTGATTTGATTTGAGGGGTGCACATGTAATGTAACAATCCATGTAAAACTGTGAAGTAGAGCAACTGCAAGTGTACAGAATTTTGTTTTTCTCTTTGGGTTATTTTTTTACAGTTAAGATCACCTTCATTCCAATCAGCCTAGAGTATTTTTTTACAGTTAAGATCAACTGCAAGTGTACAACAATCTGCCCGTGTGAGTATATACTCACAACTTATGCTGTGAGCAGCATAACTATATTGAGCCTAGAGAGAGTACATGAGAAAGTTTCAAAATAAGGCTTCCTTTGTAACATTCTGATTCTAAACGTATCCTGAGTATCCATGTATTTTGTAGATATTGACGTTAAATGTTGTATTTAAATATGAGTGTTTGTTATTTTATTTGGAATGTCGTTTTTTATTTTAATATAAATATGAAGTGTACGTAAATTGTCTTCAAATATGTTTTATATATTAATTAAATTCATAATGTTAATGGTATTCACATTTCTGCATATTTTGTTAAACATACATGAACCGGTTGTACCATTGGTGGATCCATTGCATTTGTTAAACCAGCGCGCAATGATATAAACTGGTTTTGCAATTACATGGCCACCATGGAATTACACCAAAACTTAAGTGGCTCATTTTGCAATTAACCCATCTGTCTGACATATATAAACTGAAAAACGAAACGATATTGCAAGTTTGCAACTCCGACTCTCTGTCAACGCAGCGCGTGACTTCACTCTCCGTATCCAGAGGCAGAATCGCGCTTCCCCTCACTCCCCTTCTCCGCCACCAGCAGCAGCAGCAATGGTGAGTCTCCCTCGATCTGATCCATTCTTCCATTTCCGATTCCCCGATTCACTGACTCGGCCCGATCCGAGCTCAAGCATTTCAAGTTGCGCTATGATAAATCGAATATCTCGTGTGTTTCCAGGCATCGAAGCCGGTCACTGCCCCAGTCCCGATCACTTGGTACCCAACCCTAGCAGTTTTCATGCTCTCCATCGGCCTTCTCATCACCGCTTCCTTCTTCATGTGAGTTCGATGATCCTGATCTCCAGTTTCCCTTAGCTTTTCCTTGTGTGGATTGGAAAATGGAGATAATTTTAGGGCCGCCGGATGATTGTCTAACAAATTTCCAATTCGATCGTATGACAATTGCGACTGTGGATCCTTCGCTTTAGGGCTTTAGCCTTACTAGTATTGGCTTGATTGGGTAACGCTGATCTAAAGGAACGCCTGGGGATTTATTTGACTCTGTTAGTCGAGAGACAATCAGTGCCCCCTCTGTAGCTCTAGAAATGCTCTCGAATGTTATTTCTGAATGTTCCTGTATTCAAAATGGGTAACTGCGTGGTGAGGAATTTCTGGGACTTAGCGAGTTCCAGTTTCCTTCTGCGGATTGGAACATGGGGAGAATTTTAGGGCCTTCGAATGATTGCGGAATAATTCCAATTTGATCTTATGACAATTGCCACTGTGGATCCTTTGCTTTAGGGTTTTAGTGTTACTAGTATCAGCTCGATTGGGTAATGCCAATAGACAGGAATGCCTGGGCATTTCGTTGACTCTGTTGGTCGAGAGACAATCAGTGCACCCTCTGTAGCTCTAGAAATGCTCTCAAATGTTATCTCTGAATGTTGCTGGATTCGAAATGGGTAACTGTGTGGTGATGAATTTACTTGAATGTGCTGCCTGGTAGCTTCTTCAATCTCTTTTGGTCACTGATGAAATTTTCCTTTCTGCCATTTATCGCATTAGGATGTTATGAAGTGTCATTGCATTCCTCACATTTCTCTTCCATCTGTCACCTGTATCGGCATATCTAGTTGACTGAATGTGAAGCTTGGTACTAGGAAGGGCATGTGCGATATACGTTAAGAGTTGTTGTCAGTGTGTTTTTGCTTGATAATGTGTCTTGTTTAAGTTCCCCCTATGACTTCGCTCACTCTAGTAGATGATTTCCTCACTGAAAAATGTGTTACCCCCCCCCCCCCCCCCCCTAAAATAGCATTCAGTCATTCATTTTCAAACTCATTTCACATGGTTTCTTATGTTTCTTGTCAATCTGTTCTTTTTATCCAGCTATGAAGCCACATCCTCGAGAAAAACCCGCAGTCTTCCGAAAGAACTGACCACAGGAGCGCTGGCATCTTTCTTTCTGGTAAGACCTCTGTTGCTTGGGTTTCTTTTGATCTTGACATGGCTTGCAATCACAATTATGTCACCTTTGTGTCAAATTGCTGATTCTCCTGTTAATATATCTCTTTGTTTGCAGGGTTTTGGATCCTTGTTCCTGCTACTTGCATCTGGCGTTTATGTTTAGACCATCTATGATAATATCTTTTTGATGTTTAGACTATATATGATATATCCTTTTTATGTTTAGACTATCTATGAAATTTACTCCCAGTAGAACTGATGAAAATTTTGTTTAATGTAGAAGAAACGTTGACGGTTTTCAGCTAAATTAGAGTATTTTGGTAATGAGATCCAGAACTTCTTCTTAACCTTGATGATGATAGTTTCGAGTGGTTCTTTTTCCCAGACGACCTCCGCGTTGTTGTGGTTCGCAGTTGCAGTTGGATTAATTATCCAGACGGCAATTACTGGGTTGTGTTCTACATTTACATGGCTGTTGCAGTAGGTCGGTAGATCTTGGTTGAGCTTGAAAGTTTTACTTAGTTTAGTAGTAGCAACTAGCAAGACAAGATTTAGTGGGCAATGGATATGGCATATTCTGTATGCTCCATCGTCGTATTTTCACAATCAAGCGTTTTCTTTGAGAAAAAAAGATCGGGCTAGGCTGCAGATTGCGGTTCAACCAATTGGTTCGAAATGAGCTAGAGATCGGTTGGACAACAAAACAAACCGAGCAGACACAATAGTAGCAGATCTGAACTTCCATCAACTTTGACCAATCACCAAGGATCGACGCAGAGCTTCCAAACTAATGGATCTTGCCATCTTGGACATAAGCCAGTACTCCAACCCTTAAAAAAAATCCTGGCCATCAGCAGCATAACCAATCCACTAAAGATAAACAGCATCCGAATTTCTGCAGGTAATGTTTGATGATTGATGGAAGTGAATCAGATCATGCATAGGTTCATACAACGGTCAAAGTGATGTCATTCAAGACCCTCTATCGAACTTTCAAGCAGTACCTGATTCGTTTTCCATTACGAAGTCTACAGTCAATTCTCATAGCTAACATAGTAAGACAACACTGACTAGAACTCACTTCTGGTTGCAACTATTTAGTCAGGATGTCGAGCAACAAACAGCCTCTATTCATAGATAGAAACATCCTTGCTCGCACGTACCAAGCTGGATTCAGATACCCATATAAACCCTCTGGATGCAGAGTATTAGTTCACATATCCTCCTTCTCGTCCACATCAATGCCCAGAAGCTTAGCCAGTTCACCACTCTCATATGCTTCAACAGTATCTGTTAAAGCAAGAGAGAATAAGAAGTCAAGTCTCTACTGAATTTTGAGACAGCATGAGCATTTACAAGGGTAATGAAGTTGAGGAACATCGGGAACTACCATCAGAGCCGCCAATGTGCTTTCCGTTGATGAAAACCTGAGGTACAGTTCGTTTCCCCACAAGCTGACCCAATGCAGCCTGGATGTCTTGCCCATCATCTGTCAACAAGAAAAGTTTAATATTATCCCAACAATGTTTTAAGCATGTGAAACTATGAACTCAGAATTAACTGAGACATTACTTTGTACTCTATAATTACTGATAACGAGTTCTCACGGGACTAGTATTGCCAGTGAGCTGACGACACTTGTCATGGTGTATTTTTTTGACAATTGCTATCGACGGAAAACTATCGAAGCCATCTGCTGGGATTGATTATAGAGTAATGGACCTCCAGAAAAATCTGGGCATAGGTTTTATGATATACATATGGGTCTAGGAATGGGAGGACAAGGCAAGATAGTGAGAGTCATTATTGAAGAATGAAGACCAAGGCAGACTAGTGAATGCAGTCAGGTTTCTCAAACAAAATATGGACCAATCTCTAGATCCTGCTCCTAGAAGTGTTAGTCAGTGTCAGACTATAGATTCAATGTAAATTCAGTGTCCTACAAAAGATTGGGATCATAAACTCGAATATTAGAATCATAGGATGTTATTGATCACATAAAAAGCCATCATTAATCAACATTGACCAATCAACTTCGTCAAGTATAAGCATTCTTAATAGAACGTTGCTAGTTATATAAGCACAAAAACAAATTTGAATGTTACATATGATAGGTCAATTGTATATCATATGACATATAAGTACGGTAAGGGCTCCATAGATCAGTAAAATGTAGCTTTTGCAGTGAATACATCAGCCATAACCATTTGAAATGCCTAATGAACATAACTTGTTAAAACTTTTAGGACCAAATCATAAGGACTCAGTAGATTGGTATAGAAGTGTTGATTTCTACCCTGATTCTACTTTGATTTCTACAGGCAAGATCATAAGATTCTATAACTTTCAGATTCGCACAAGATAAAAGCAAATTTGTTTACAATTCGACTACTCACTAGACACAGATTCCCAATGTGGGAAGCCAAACATTAGCCAGAGCTCCTACCCTTGCAAAGCCTGTTGTTTCTCTGCTATTCGAGCATTGTGGCAGGGTTACCGTCTTTCTTTAACCTGTCTAATTTAGCACCACTATCTTGCCCACTATCGTGTTTCAAATCAAATGGATCAATCAATCAGCTATAGCATTCCTACACATATCTTTCACAAGCATGTCTGTTTATGATTCATCAAGCACAGATTACAAGCACAGATTGTAATTGAGATATATCTGTTAACTCACCTCTCTCATTAAGCTCAACCACATATGGCGTCTGGTTCAACTCTTTGAAAACAGCTTTAGCCCTCCTACAATATCTGCCAAGCAACAAGCAACATACCACAAACATCAATAAGCAGTATCAGCTTTAGCAACTAAACCATTGAAAGAAGCAAGATCTCCATCGAAAGGCATTCCTGCCATCACACAAACTACACTATGTAAAGGCCCAAAAAAGGACATGACGGAGAAAACGAGCTCGAACCAGAGCAGCTCCCCCCCCCCCCCCCCGAACAGGAATCAGATCCGCGATATCGTAATCATCAAAGTCAGTTCCTGGGTATTGCATATCTATCACAAAGTTCACGCGGAAACGAGAGAGAATCTTAAGAGCACGACAAATGAGATGGAAAATTGGGGAAAAGGCGCAGTTTTTTGGAATTGAAGTTACGGGCAATAAGATTTGGAGAAGATGACGATCTGGTGGGATTTGATGGTCTCCTTGACGAAAGTAGATGCCGTAGAAGCGGCAGAGGCTGACGGCCAGCTGAAGGATGCAGCGGCGATCATTGCCAGAGTTGCTGTAGCTGCGAATATCGACGACGCTCGAACTCTTGCCGCCATTGATGAAGTAGAAGTGTGAACTTCTGTAGCTAGAAATTATCGCCGACGACGAACTGGTCCAGCTTCCAGGTGGATGCGCTACGAGCTGAGAAATGAGCGGAGAGTTGGTAATGGGGGCAGCTTGGCAAGGAGAGAGGATCCAGTGACTAAAGGGGTGACTGACTAAGCCCCTTCCTGCTCTTAGATCTGGATATAGCAATCTGATGGTTAAAAAGTGGGAAGGACCATTTAATTATTGGCATGAGTAGTTTGGGTATTATAAAAAATTACGAAGTATACAAATCGGATTTACAATCAGTACAAACCATACAAACATACGAACAGTACAAACTAGAGCGACAAAACATACAAACAGATTTACAAACATTACAAACGTATGAACTGTACAAACAATACAAACTAGACCAACAAACAATACAAACCATACAAAAAGAAAAAACAATCGGGTTGACTTTTGAGGCTCCATCCCTATATAGAGGGGCTCCTTCCCAAAGTCAACCCTGGTGTTTTTTAGACATACAAACAGTACGAACATGGTGGACAAAAATGACAAACTAGACCAAAAATTCATACAAACTGGAAAAACACCCGGGTTGACTTCGGAGGCTTCATCCCTATATAGAGGGCTCCGTCTCAAAGTCAACCCGGTTATTTTTTAGACATACAAACATTACGAACATGGTGGACAAAAATGACAAACTAGACCGACAATCCATACGAACTAGAAAAAACACTCGGGTTGACTTTGGAGGCTTCATCCCTATATAGAGGAGTTCCATCCAAAAGTCAACCAGGTTGTTTTTTAGACATAAAAAACATTACAAACATGGTTGACAAAAATGATAAACATGGTGCACAAAAATAACAAAGTTTACAAACATTACAAAAAAACCCGTCAAACATTACTAAATAACAAAGCGTACAAACATTACAATATAAACCGACAAACAGTACAAAGCATACTAACCGTACAAAATGTCACTAAAAATTACAAACAATACAAACCGAATCTATACAAACATTACAAAATCCAACAGTCGCCGGGAAATCTCCTCCGGTCGCCGGAAAACTCTCTCTCTCTCTCTACCGCACAAGCGATGGAATTCCCTGGTCGGCGATGGCGGATGGGGGAAAAAAAAGAAACGAGACGGACGGCAGGGAGAGAAGAGCCGGAAAAAATTATTTAATAATTAAAAATAAAAATAATCATGAACTTACAGTTTTGCTCTTCATTAAAGTAGATTAATTGTAGCCATTAGATTTTAATGAGATGGAAGGGCTGAGATTTACTTAGTCATGTGACTAAGGGACCCCCCTTAGTCACCTGATCTTAGCCCACTTGGCAAGGTGTGTAGTGCAACAGTCCGGTCCATCAGATTATTATTGAAAATCGGATCGGTTTGTTCTGATATGGTTCGATTTAAATGTTAATTCGATTTATTTTTTATTTTTAATAATAAAATAAATATGATATATTTTTTAATGATATCTGGCATGGAGACCATGTAGAGGTTGATGAAAAACTACGTTAATAATATTGTTGACGACAACAAATGAGTCATTATAGGTTTGACTAATATTTTGTATTTTAAAAAGTTTGGCTAATATTTTAAAAATATTGAAATGTTTGGCTAATAAAGTGTATTTAATCTACATATTTTCTTAACTAAAATACTTAAAATTTGAAACGTTAATCGTCACACGTCTTTTAACTCAACATCACGTTGCCAAATTAGCATTGTTAATGGTTGATTAACAGCGACGGATCTAGAACATAGTAGAACACTGGGCCGCATTTCATTAGAAAATTAGATAGAATAAAAAAAAATTATTATTAAATTTTTTTTACAATGTCAATTGTACACGACGGTCTTTTAATTATTTAGCGAATGCATCAATAATGGAGTCTACATCCATACCAATGACATACTATGTTTAAAATAAAATAGCTAAGTAATTGACGAGAAATTCATCGCTCATTTTGTTGCGCAAATAAGTTTTCACATGTTTCATTGTTGAAAAAGTTCTCTCTGTAGTAGTCACTGAAACAGGCAGCATCAACACTAAACAAATCAATCGACTAATCAATTTGCATTGTGTGTTCATTCCTATATCCACCAGTTGCTCTAGTAATTTTTCAAAGGAACAAACCTTATATTTCTTTTAGTCCTTTACGCTTTAGACTTTTAGAATTTAGTTTTCATTGTTTTTTAGACCAAAGTCTTTGAGACTAGAATTTCTAAGCTAAATTTATAGTAGTGATTTGAATATGTTCATCTAAACTATTTTTCTAATTACAAACAATCTTATTATAAAATAACACTCGACCAAATGCCTAAATCGAAAAATTCACAAAGGCTATATTAGCTCCGGATCCAGAGGAGGGCTGAGCCGTGGCCCGGAGTGGCCACCCCCTGCATCCGCCACTGTTGGTTAATTCTTTATATTTCAAAAGGTTTGAATAATAATTTGAAAATTTTGAAAGGCTTATGCTAATAATTTGTATTTACTCATATAAAAAAGAAACAATTCTTCAATAGTTCAACTATTGATTGATTATCGAGTTTGATGTTTTTATTGTATGAGTCTTTTTGATTTGACCTTTTAAGGATGATTGTTAAAAAAAAGGCAAAATTCATCTGTGTAGCCAAAACTTTCACGTTTGTGACAATAATAGCCACTTTTGGCGAAATACCAAATATAGCCAGAATTTTGAAAGTTTCGTGACAAATATAGCCATTTCCGTTACATATTTTAACGGCGTTAGTGACACTGTTAGTTAAATTAACGACATGCTTATCTGGCTGCCAACTCACAGGACACATCATCGACAACTTAACAACACTAGCCACATGGATACCATGTCATATTTTAATTAAATAAAAAATAAAAAATATCATAAATTATTTTCTCACCCTCTTGCCTCTCCCACCACTCAATGCTGCCATCCTTAATCCTCTCACACCATCACTGGCGTCTTCTACAAGACTACAACTGGTCGTGCGTCTTCTACACAAGCTGGCCTATCTACAAATTTCAGAAGCAATTGCACCCACAAACACATATGTACCTGCGGCCAGCTAGCAATTTCGCCAAGATCTTCGAACTCTGCATCGTCGCCTCGGCCGACAGACGATAATGGGGAAAGGGAATGAAGCAAATCGAGATAAGAGGAGCCAACAGCTACAACGCCGACCTATAGGTCTAATCATCTTTCCCAATGAGGAGCCAGCGGCTACAGTGCTGAACGAGGAGAATCAAGTGGAAAGAAGAGGAGGCTTCCAACTTCCTCTATCAACTCAAATCCATCCAATCGATCAATCTGTTTCCAAAGATCGTAGCTTTCCTGCGAAAAATGGAGGTTTCACGGCAAAAATCCCTCTACCCGGAAGTAATTCTCTCCAACCTCGAAAGACCCATTGGGCAAAGTTTTCCTCTTCTGCTCCCTCCACCTCGTCTTTTTACTCGGATGTTCGACATGCCCGATCTCGCCCAGAATCTCTTCCCGGATAACAACACTGGCAGAGCCGGCTCCACACGAGGAGCTTTTGATCAGAATCCCGAGCGCCATAGCCCAATTGACCGAGAAAGACCATAGTTTGGAGCTGGCTTGCGGGGATCTGGACATAGTTACCTTCAAACAGGTGAAAACCGTCGTTGCGGCATTTTGTCGAATAAGTGGCGACATCTAGTGGTCGGTGGAGAAAGACGAGGCTGTAGTGAAGCTCGACCAGTCCAACAACTTATTCTTGCTTAGGGTTCCTTCCGGGAGTCAAGACTTAAGCGGCAAAGAGAAGGAATCGAAGGAAGATGGACTCAGTTCGAGGTCTTGAACTACGGGTGGCATTCCCATCGAAAGGGAAGAATCGGGGAAAGAAGTGAGCTCATGTTGATGAAGCTTCTTCTTCGATAGGAGAATCAGTGGCATCAATGTACTCATGTACCGATGTATGTAGAGATCGAAAGCACTTGTGCGGCGGTGGAAGAGAGATTGTACAGGGATAAGGGGGAGGAGATGGGATCGGAGAAGATAAGAGAGAGAGGGAGACTTTTCATTTTCAATTTTATTTTTTATATTTTAAAGTTAAATCCACATGGCAAGGTTACTTTACAAAATGCTGCCACATCAGCTTTTCCGTTAGTCCAGTCAAAATATTAGATGACACCGTCAAAAAATTGGACGGAATTGGCTACTTTTGTTATTTCGCCCAAAGTGGTTATATTTGGCCAAACCGTCAAAGTTTTGGCTACACATGTGTATTTTGCCAAAAAAAAATGAAACAATCTTTTGTCATGGTAAAGTGGGGTGCTGCCATTGACTGACACTCGATCCACTCAACATGCTTCTTAAAAGTGTGGTTAACAGATCTACCAATTTATATGGGAGAAGTATCCACCAACATGGTTAACCGTTCGAATCCGACACGATTAAATATGGTAAAACCTAAGCAAAATTAATATTGGTGGTATTGATAGAATTCGAACACGAATATTATAAATTATAGGCGTCATGTTTTTCCTACTATAAAATCGACGATTATAGATGCATATCTATATTTTCATATAAGTTTATATTATCTCTCAATATATTCGACATTTGTAATAGATATATAACACCCCCGTGAATACTTTTTTCATTTATCGTAATATTACCGACTTATAGTTTAACATTTTCAGTTGTATGTATAATGTGAACCCACTCACAAATTGTAAAACCTTGGATAAGACAATAAAGAAATACTATCATTTGTTGATATTCATGGATAACCAAACCCCAAAACATATATACGATTTATAACTCGAATCGGTGTACATATATGATTATGGATAAAACTCAAACCAGTTAATAAGAGTAATGGATATCCACTATCCATACCCTGAACGCCTGAACTGGCCCTGTTGCCATCCCTAGTCACATGATCCACTCTCATCAATTCTAGTTATTTGCAGGTGGGTTGTGTCTAAAATCATTTTGTCCCAAATCCTAATTGCTCGACTTGTTGGGAGAAGGTCAATTATGGATCTTATACTGTTTAGCAATGTAGTCAAAATCACACTTTAAAACTTAAAAGCTTATAATTTTATGGTTCTAGGACACCAAAACGCTTTCGTTTCCATATAAAATCTTTATTGTGTACAATCATACTAATTTGCGCTTTAGAGCTTAAATCTTATGCTTTTACGCTTCTAGTTCACCAGAATCCTTTATGCTTCTAGTTCCCCAATGGGTATTCTTTTCATGAATTTAATTATAAAAATTATATTTTAAAGGTAAATCACTAGCAATATGATACATTTGAGATTAAAAGATACCTACCAGATACTTGGATGCATTCTCAGCTTCTATCGAGTAATCTAATTCACCACCTAGTCTATTCCTCAATTCATTAGCATAGAGGGGAATGTAGCTTATTGTTAAGATCTATTTTTTATTATTTCCGAGTGATATCAAGAGAAGACAAGAATTATACAAACAAAACTACCCAGAAACCCCTTATAAACGACATTCTATTATTAAGATCTATGTTTATGAACTTATTGTTAAGATGCTATAAGCTATTTACTTTAGACTAGGGATGGAAATGGGTCGGATCGGGGACGGATAGTCCATATTCGTTACCCTATCCAAAGTAGTACGGGTTTTACCCTTACCCACATAAGAAACAGGTAGAAAATCCAAACCATGCACATACCCGTTCGGGTTTCGAGTATCCACGGTTATCCATGGGTAATAGTTTCTCTTTATAACTCTAACCAATATGTTAATATTCACACGTATTCTCACGTCATGTAAGACGAAAAGTACGACAGTAATTCACTAGAATGAAGAAAATTAATTAAAACATTACAATTTCATAAAAATATTACATTTATATGCTAAATATAAAATATTTTATAGAAAAAATTGATTATTTCTAGACAAAGTACATATGCATGTGTATAATCAGGCGGGTTCAGGTTGGATAGTGAGAAAACCATGCTCACCCATTACCCATAATATTCGGGTTCGGGTTTTACCCATACCCACTAAAATTCATTCGGGTTCGGGTTTTACCCTACCCAATTAAGTCGGATTCGGGCGGCTATCCACGGTTACGGATATTATTTTCATCCCTACTTTAGACATGAATTGCATGTATTTATTAACTTAATTAAATTCTGCTCACTCATATTTTACATAGTAGATGTCGTACTAAATAGATTTTTAGCTTTTTTCAGTATGCATAAAAACTTACGCTTTTACAGTTTGATTCTACGCTTTATAATTTTACCCATTTTCCGCCTTTAGCTAGAATCGCGCTTTTGACTGCATTGATGTTTACTAACATGTCTCCTTAAACCAAAATCAACTCATATATATGAGCTTGAATTTTGCACGGCTCAAAATATCATGTGCTTAACATGAGGGACGTCAAGATTCAAACACTCGAGCAGCGAGCTCTCGATCATAAAAAACCGATACCATGCAAAAAAAAAATCATTTAATCTCAATCACTCGTTATTATTGAAAAATCATAAACACATCTAAATTCGCACCTTTTTTTTTAATCAATATTGGTTAGGGGATTCATAATAACTGACGACGTAATTATGAAGTGCGAAGTACAGCCATCGAACGGCCGCTTAGCTACGTAATTAAGAGACTAATAAATCTTGAAGGTATAATAAGTATCCTTTTTACCAAACCGTCCCCCTAAACCCCAAAAATAAACCCCCTCTATTAATCTAATTATGGTAGACCTTACGACCAACACAAAATATACATTAAAAACTTATAATTATTATCATAAAATTTATTACTGTTGCGGACCACCAAAAGTTAATTAACCTCCCCTCTCGTTAAATTAATTATTAACCCTTCCTATTAATATCATATTATTATTACTACTACTACTGCTGCTTTTCCATAATCTACTATATTATTTGTGTCATGGTTTATTATCACCACTATGATACGGTTGAGCACCACTGCTGCTGGCCGTTCCGCTGGACGAAACGTTTCGCTTCTGGCAGGACCTGCACGTCGCCGTCGCCGTCGAGGCCTGGCCACGTGGCGATGGTTCGTTTCTCCCATAGCGCAGCAGCTCTTGGAGCTCGGCCTTGAGCCTCCTGTTCTCGTTGCTCAGGCTGTCGCAGCATTTCCTCAGGAACTCACAGTCCACCTCCGTTTGCTTCAGTTTCGTCCTGCATGCAATGACTTAGTGACCACATTTTTATGTACCGTCACGAAATGTACAGGGAGAATGAATGAATGAATGAATGAATGAACGAACGAATGAATGAATGAACGAACGAACGAAATAGTAGTATCAAACCTGGCCCTTCTGTTCTGAAACCAGACCTCGACCTGTCTTGGCGTCAGTTTCAGCTGCTCTGCTAATGCCTGCTTCTGTGCCTGCAGTCGTAGTTCGAGTTATCGATTCCTGATTGATAGTAGTTTGAGTTCGACGCGAAATTAAAAATAGAAAATATTATAGTTGATAGTCTCTCACAAATTCAAATTCGTTGAACATTGCAGTTACGAAAAGAATTTAACGTGTTTGTTCATTATATTACAAATCATTTCTTAGTATGTCGAAAAATTCATGTGAACTAACCCCCCAACAGCTAGCTAGCTAGCCTCCATATACACTCCGATCATCGGCGCTTCTGTTCTCTAGACTTTATAATTAGTAGTTCGTTGTAATATTCTTGTAGATTGTACTCGTTGGATATTTTCTTGTATAGATTTTGTTTTTCATAGTATGAAAAAAAAATGCCTTGTTATAATATAATTTTTTTTTGGTAAAAGAACACCTCTAGGTAAAAATATCTGAATCCGCAACTGAGAATCGAGGATGGAGAAGTTTTGATCGATTAGTAGTACCGTGTTGAGGGTGGTTTGGAGTTTGAATCTGCTCTCGAGCAAGCTGGATTGCTCCTTGCTGAGCCGTAGCTTCTTTCTCCCGCCGCCGCCAACCATCTCCTTACCATCCATCACCGCTTTACGCCCTCCTCCGGAGCTGCAGTAGTACTGCTGCTCTTCCGTATCAATTGACGACGACGATTTCGTCGCTAATTCCACAACGCCGTTGTTATTGTCGTGATCATCATCATTAGCCACGGTTTCATCATCGTCGTCGTCGTCATCTCCTCCAGGAAAGAGCTTGAAGGAGAGGTCCAAACACGCCACTGAAGTCGTCGTCTTCTTCTTCTTCTTTCTCGAGGACGATTTCTCCCTGTCGTCGCGGAAAAAATTGTGGTTGCTAATAATCGGTTGCTTCGCGGCCGGGCTACTTGGGCCCGTGATGCTCAGGCCGAGGCCCAGCCTCGTGTGGCAGTCGTCTTCCATTGCAATGCTTGCTTGTAGTTTTTGTCGATTCTCGACGCGTGAAATTGTGTGTTTGATAATATGGTAACAAATTGATGAGGATGATGGTGAATGGTGATAATAGCTTAGGTTGGAATCTTACTGTAATATTGGGGAGGAAGGTTTTGGGTTTGGGATAATGGAGAATGTGGGAAATGAGGAAGTTGTGGTGAGATGATGAGGTGACTTTTTATAGCCCTAAGAGAGTAGAGAGGAGAAAATGGAGATGATAGTAGTTGGGTAACTAG